CATGTAGCCTCTTATTAAGCCTGAGTTCCTTGCTCTGACTGCGAAGAGTTAATTGAAGAGCCATTAAACACCTACACAAGTTAAAATAAGAGGCAGCAGATATGAGCAGAGGGGGCCTGGGAGATGAGAAGTGCTGGTACTAATGCAGGCTCCGTGCTCCAAGGAGGAGGTGAAACCATGGAGATTGCATCTGGGAACAGTGCCTTCGACACCAAAGCCGAGATGAACGCTCGGATGTGCACAATCCTGCTGGATCCTGCTCTCACAGGAGAGCCGTGAGGAGCAGGAGGGGACGAGGTGGAACTGCAGAGGCACGCAGAAAGCTGAGCATGCAGATCTCTGTGTTTGCCCTGCCAGTCATAAATGCTGATCCAAAGGAAAACAGACCTCTACAGGGACTGCTGAGCTTACTTAGATATTCTCACCTGATAAAGGAAAGCAAAACAGAAAAGGCAATATCAGGAAAAATCCTAAAAAATCCTTGAGCCCAGGCCCTGAGTTTATTCTTGTGTTTGCGTAATTTCCCCTACAATGGCATCTCGATCCCTATCAGGGTCTCCGGGTACTACTCAGCGTAAATAACCCTCACAGCTAATCCCACCGCAAACACGCTGTGTGGAGAAGCGCTGCGTTATTTGCCAACTTATTTTTCTTTGGCGAGCTCTGCCGCTTTCGAAAGCAAAACGCCTTCACTTCAAGGACGGGCACAAGAGGCTCAGCCTCTTCCCAACCCCGAGACCGTGCTGACACAGCCACATCAAAACGTCCCCTACAGGGGAGTTCCCCGTCGCCTGCGGCAGGACAGCCGTGGCGAAGGGCAACCGGGGGCTGACAGGGAGGGGCAGTGCGCCCCTCACGGCCGCCATTTCCCCCGCCCCCCCCTTTCCGCCCCGCTGGGCGCCATGGCGGCCCGGCGGCGGAAATGGCGGGCGGGGCGCGGGGCGGGCGGGAGGAGGAGGAGGCAAGATGGCGGCGCCGGGGGCGCTGAGGCGCTGCTGGAGGCTGGCGCTGGGCTGCCGGGCCAGGTACCGGCCCCGCGGTGGTGGTGGTGGGGTGTAGGGCTCGGAGCGGCGCCGCCCGGTGCTGGAAGCCGGTGCTGAGGCTCTCCCCTTTTCTCCCCGAGGCAGCTGGCGTCCCGCACCGCCGCTCCGAGGACGGGCGCTGCGCTGGGCATCGTCCTCCTCGCAGCCGGGCCCGACGGAGGGCGAGGGGCAGGTGTACCTCAGCCAGAGCTGCGTGAAGGTAGGGCCTCGGCAGGGCTTGCCAAAGCGCCCCGCCTGCTCTAGGCACGGTTGGAGTGCTCGTCTGTGTGTTTGGATCCTCCGTCGTGGTTGTGTGCCTGTGTTTGCCTGTTGCAGAGGCTGCTGGAGATCGCGGAGGGCTCCGAGTTCCTCAGGCTGCAGGTGGAAGGAGGCGGCTGCTCCGGCTTCCAGTACAAGTTCTCCCTGGACACAGTTGTCAATCCCGATGACAGGCAAGGACAAACGGGGGCGGTGGGGGTCAGGGGTGACAAGAAAGGTGTGTGCGATGTGGTACCCTGACCTGAAGGAAAACCGCCTGTGAATTCAGGAAGGTGCTCAGACTGCTTCTCTGTCAGGTCTGCAGCACAATTAATGCTTAATTACATTGCTTTTCTGTAGGGTGTTTGAACAAGGTGGCGCCCGTGTGGTGGTGGACGTGGACAGCCTGGCCTTCGTGAAAGGCTCCATGGTGGACTTCAGCCAGGAGCTGATTCGCAGCTCCTTCCAGGTGGTGAGCAACCCCCAGGCAGAGAAGGGGTGCTCCTGTGGGACCTCCTTCTCTGTCAAATTCTGACGGGACTTCTTGTGGATGAACACGGTCTGCAGGTGTTTTCTGGCAGTCTCCAGAGGGTTTTTGCTCACTCTTTTCCCAGCTGTTCCTTCTCATCTTCCTTACTCTGTAATACAGCAGTTACAGATGGCTCCAGCTGTGTGTGTGTGTGTTTGAACTGAGCCTGTCTCCAAGACTTGTTGGCCTCCCCTTTAGAAACATGAAGTAGCCGTGAGCACGCACAAAGGAACATCTTCAGGAGCATCTTCAGCACTTTGTGAACCACCTGCCAGGTGGTGCTGACTCGCCTGCCTTGTCCTGAATGTGGAACCACTCGCCTCTGCCAAGAGAAGGCTGTATGCATGTGTGTTTATTGAAAGTTCTTACAAAAAAAAAAAAATGAGTTTTTTTGGTATTACTTGTGTATTTCTAGTGGGTAGAATCTGGATTCGTTCCAGCATCTGCTGCTTATTCATTGTTTTTCAGCTGAATTGGGCTGTCACCTACCACTGTTGCTGGCTGTCCGCCCTCCAACATTCAGTGGGCTTTTGCAGACCCTTTGCTTTTCTTTTGCCCAGCAGACCTGTCTCAGTCCCAGGAATCTACAGTGGTGCTGTCAGTCCCTAGGACTGAAGTTTTGCCTTGTTCAGAGTAAGTGACACTAAAAGATTGAGGTGGCAAGAATTAATAGCTTATTTCTTTTATTAAAAAAGTAAAGAAAAAGGGTGGTGCGTGTGTGTGTATATAAATGAAATACGTAGCCCGCCATCCCCCATTACTATTTTAAAGGCTGTTCCTAAACCTGACTTGGAATTGTAGGTCATAACAAGGTCTCAGGTGTCATAGTATGTTCATTGCCTTCTCTTCTCAGCAGGAAGGGCAGTCTAGGTGACGCAGGTAGAGGAGGTTCTAAAGTATTGTTTAAGGGTCCTCAAGTCAGTTTGACTAAGTTGTCTGAGAAAAACTTGCTTCACCATTTAATCTGCCTGTCTGCCTGGTCTTACGAAAGAACGAAATATCTCCTTTCCTTTATGAAACTCCAATAAAAATGGGAAATCTAGAGGTTTCCAGAATAACGTCCTTTTGATTACTTGTTTTCTGTAGCTTTTTATCTGCCACTAGATGTCTTTTAAATCACAGTGATTCATCTGCTTCTGTGTGAAAGGAGAGATAGGGAAACTATTTTTGTTCCCTCTCTTGTGTTTTATCTGATCAGAACCAAATTGTTGAAGGCTTGATTCTTTCACGTGAGTCAGGGAGCGCTGCGTGACTTTGGTTTCAAGGAAGCTGTTTGTGGCAAACCATGAACTTTTTGAGGCTCTGTGCCGCAGGTATTTTTGTGGTTGTTGTTGAACTTAACAGATTCCTTCCGAAGCTAGTCAGCAGTGCGTACATATGCTACACGTCTGCCTACTGATTTCTAGTGCTCAGTTTATAGCCAGACAGTGTTAGCTTCATCTGTAAATGTTACTGGAGTTCATTTGTGATCTGCTGCAGCTTTGTCATTTGAATGCGGTTGGGCTTTGGAGCAGCAGTTCCTTTGGTTTAGCCTTTTTGACTTCTGTTTCTTGAAGTCAACAAGACTATGTTCTATGTAGCTGTGTCCCCGGCAGAGAGAGGTGGATGTAGCACTGTCCCGGTTTGTAACAGGGAGTAAAAAGATGTGGTTAAAAGATTTGTCTAAACCTCTGCAGGATGTCTGGGCCCTACCCTTAAGCTCCCAAATCTTGAATGGGATGTTTGCCCGAAATGCCTTTGAAAGAAACTATAAGACCTAAAGGCTTCTGTAGGAAGAATACGTTAAAAAAACTTAATTTCTTTGAGGTGGGGTAACCAAGCAATGAAAGATGGCAGGAGGCATTGTTTTCTGAACCAGAGAGTACGTTATCTAGTTCTTGATACGTTTCATACAATTTGACCTTGGTCAAGTGTCTTTTGGCATTTTTGTTGTGGGAAATGTAAGTGCAGTAGTACTGAAGGGAAGGAAGCAAACCAGGAACTAGCAGGGCTTTTTTTTTTTTTTTTTTTTTTTTCTTCCCTAAATGAAAACGTGTCTTTAGCTCCCGTGTCTTGGGTTATTGTTCGTACAAAATGTGACTGTGCTGTCTCTGCTGAACCTAACCAAGTGCCACTTGCCTTTACTCACTCCCGCTGATGAAGTAAATCAAATAAGTGCTGTCCACATGGAGTGCCACCACTTTAAGGTAACTTGCCACCTCCCCCCTCCTGGGGACTGTACAGAGGATGAGGCTTTGTTTCCACACCAGTGTCAACCAGCAGGTTGTCACTGGGCTCACTGGAAGCTTGTCTGCCTGCGGTTCTGGCAGTACTGCTTGAACTGCACTAGGTGGACCCCTTACTCCTTGGGATTCATTGCACTGGGCATGTACAGATATTTAGACTTGCATCTGGAGTGAGGTGAGATGTGCTCCTTGCAGGACTGAGGCAAGAGCATAAGCTTCTTTGCCTGGAGGCAGTCTGGAGCTGAGTTCTAGTTCTGCAGCGGTGTCGTCTTTAGATCAGAGAAACTGCTAGGAGCTGGAAAGGTTCCAGCTCTACAGTACGCTGCTCCTTGGCCTCCAGCTTCCTGTAAGTAGCTATAACCTACTGGCCAAAACTACTAGTCTTCCAGTTCCCAATAGGGAAAGGATGCAAAGGGCTGTCTGTTGTCTCCAGAACCCCACTGGCTCTAAAAAAAGCATGTCAGTACATCCGAAATTGGAAACTTCTGTCTACATGAAGAAAGTCAGCAAAGGGGGGGGTGGATGTGCCACTGTTGAATTTTGGCTGTGTAGGCAGAAAAGACTGGATTTTCCCCTGAAAAGGGGAAACAAACTATCGAGGTTTGTACACTGAATAATAGCCTTAGAGTTGTCACCACACTATAGGCTGTGGGTAAAGACCAGTGACCTATTTTAAAGAAAAAGATGGAAGCAGAGGTTTATAAGAGGAATTCAGTTCTGACTGGGCAGTGACTTGCACTGAAACCCTGAGAACGGGGCAGGAGTATGGAGCTGGAGATTCTGCGTTTGCTTCACTGCAAATGAGAAACCGCAGTGGAAAATCTTTCTCTGCTCCCACATGAAGGATTCTCTCAGTTCACCCACCTGACAAGGAATGAATGATCAAGAAAGATATTTATGGAAACCTATGTTAAGATAAAACTTTGAGGGAAAGGGCACAATCATCAGTGTCACTGACAGGTGGGTAGGGGAAGGTGCAATAGGAATTCTAGCTTTGTTCAGGGCGCGTTGGAGCTCTGCAGGGACTTGTTGGTAGATGACCAGCACATCCTCAGCCTGTTTAAGAGCAGCATTCCAGCCCTGTTCTTAAAACTAGGTAACTACTGTCACTTACAAACCATGGGTAACCTGCCTCTCTTCCAGGCTTCCAGGAGGCAGTACAGAAATAGCTGACCTTTGTCATGTTCCTTTTCTTGTGGGTTAGGGTTATGTGTGAGAAGGCCATGTTCACCTGGGGTGGACTTCTCTGTGGTATTACTTGATAAAAAGAGCATTTGGGGTGGGTGGCTCTGCAACCCGTACCCCCCTGATGACACCCAGTTGGGCTTCTGCCTCCCCCACGCAGTAGTATAATTTCCTGCTTTCTTAGGGCTTGCCTGAATCCAGTACCTGGGGGAGGAATCACTAAATGGTGGAGGAGGCAATAATAGGAAAGCAAAAGTGCATGAAAGAAGGTTTCTCTTGTCCGTGTCCCACACTGTGAAGACAACTGCTTTTGCATCACAACTCCCTTCAGCCTTGCAAGCGATTTGAACATCTGCTAGCAGTGGGGAGTAAAAACCAAAGTGGTAGAAACCCCACTATTAAACCCCACCCTTAGCTGGGGCTGGCCAGAGGAGCTCACCGAATTCAGAGCAAGCAATTTGTACTTCTAGGACGAGCTGCTACAACACATGCTCGAGGCCTGACCTGCGTGCGGTTTCCTCCCACAAATGCAGCAGTTGGGTTCGTTAGCAGTGTGGGAGAGGATCTGCACCATTTTGATGCTTCATCCTCTTTGCCTGCTCTTTCATGCATGCCAACGTGAGCTCTCGCCCAGCGTGCACCATCCTCCTCTGGAACAGGCCGTGGCTGCCGGCGAGATTGGCAGCAGAGGAAGGGATAACTTTGCATAATGGTTTGTTTGATACGACTGTCAGCCAGCGTGGAGAGAGAACCATGATTCAAGGAGACAGAGCTTTGGCAAGAATAAAGTGCAGCCACCTGTATCACATCAAAGTCTTCCATTTGGGTAATCTTTTTTATTGCTTTTTTTTTTTTTTTTTCCTTTTGAAGAGGACGAATCCTTGAATCAAGCACTATTAGGGGCTAGGCACAGGATTAATGGTGCTGTTTAGATCTTGGTAGGTTCTCAGAGGTGAGTTCGCTCTGCGTAGCTTCCAGGGTTAGAGTGCAAGTGGCTTTTTTTTTTATATCCCAAAAGGAAACAACTCATGGGTCATGGACCTGGGGTGGGCCGTGGACGGACGAGCCGTGATGAGGCAGCTGAAGCTGGGCACGGCCGCGATTCCCGGCTCCACGGGGAGCAGTTTGTGCGCAGGGCTTCCTGCCGCTGGCCTTCCCAGCGCTCGCGCGGCTCTTAATATTTCCTGCTTGAGCAATAAGAGTTTATGGCCCTAGTCTTTGTGGTTGATTAGAGCCCAAGTTTGTGCCCCTGTTTTAATCAGTGCTCATTTACCTTTGGCATCCTTCGGAGGCACAGAATGGTATGTCTTTCGGTCGCCATGGAAACAGCGAGACTAAATGCACATTTCCATGGCAACCTGCCATTATCTCCAGCTCTATCTGTGGGTCTCATTTTCTGACCATGGGGGTGGGGTGGTGAAAGTGGAGCTTCATCTCTTTAAAAAAAAAAAAAAAAATCAATTAAGAATTAAAAACTGTGCTACCACCACAGGCCCCTCTCCCTCTCTGCCCTGGGCCTGGGGCCTGAGGCACCCGGCTGCGGGGAGAGGCCCGTGGTGGCTGCCGCCATGCCGAGCGCTGGGGCTCCAAGGTGCTGGCTTCAGCTCCCTTCTCCCCTTCACCCTTCTAAAAATAGGGATGTTTAGAAGGATTTGATGACAGCGCTCCCGCACTTCTCAGGGCTCTTTGTTTCCTCAGTGAGCGCTCCCAGAACAGGCCCTTGAAGTTAATTGAACTTTCCAGCGGGCTCCAAAGGTCGACGTGTTCCAGCTCCTCCTGGTCCGAAGGGCCGAGGGTTAATGACAAAGACTTCTCCTCAGAGTCTCAGACCTTATCTTCTCAAACTGGAGGCGCCAGGGAACACGACCTTGACCTCAGGAGCAAGCGACCTTCTTGTAAGGAGGCAACATGGCCTGCTCCAGGAGGCTGTGACCATCAGAGAGCTGGGCATCAAAGGCAAGGCTGATTGCCTTTGTGTGCGACTCGGAGGGTGCAAGGCAGAGAAAAACAGGTGTCTGCTGTCTGATGGGACTTGCCAGCCCCCTGCCAGACGAGCTCTTGGCCCCTGCTAACATCTATGCCCCCCCCTCCCCAGTGACTGAGTCAAAAAAAAAAAGAGAATTTGCTGTACTTTGAGAAATTGCACACAGCTGTTCCTTAAGCCTGTGTTCATTATTCTTGTTCTAGCTGGCTTGACCTTTAGCTAATTCCTCTTATTCATGGTCTAATCTTGGTTACTGAGGGAAAAAGCTCGTGTCTTGCCCTGTTCTAGCCTGATGCAATTGAGTCATCCATGGACGGGATGTGTAGAGCTCTCCTTCCATGTCTGCCCCACTGGTCCTTCACAGATGCTGAAGCAGAGGGTGACAATTCTGTCCGCCCAGGAGTTAGCATGGTGGTCCACAGGGCAGGTGAGGCGAGGGCTCCTCAAGCACAGTCGTTTTCCTTGCTACAGTCTGCCAAAGTGCTGTTCTCGTGTGTCAGAGCTGTCACAGTCAGCCAGGTTCGTGGTGGCTCACCAAGGGGAGCACAGAGAGCATTGCTGAACGTGCAGGATTTCACCCCAGAAGAATTACTGCCCAACACGCTCCCAGGGTTTGGATGGGAGCTCTTTCTTGGAAGATATGACAGTGGTCCTTGAACCATGGGCATCTCCCTGAAGCAAGGAGCTGAGGGCAGCATTCCTGCACTCCAGAGGCTTTTGCAGCTTGCACTGGGAAAGCCTGCATGGTTCACAGGAGGATGTGTTGCCGCTGCCAGGCAGTGCAGGCTGGGCTCTGTGAGATGCTGCAGTGGAGGGTATGGAGGAAGGCTTGCTGCACAAACTCAGAGTTTGTGCACAGCAAGCTCACAAGCAAGGATGGCCATGCCCTGGCCAGCTCTTCCCGGCAGCCCATGTTGCAAGCTTCTCCTGGCTCTCTGCATACCCACGCATGCCTGCTGGAAACTTCAGACCTGGTAGATTCGTGTTAAATATAGAAACTTTTCACTCAGGGGCAGGGAAGAGCTAATAGCATGTGGTAAAGGGAATGACTTTGGTGACAGGGGTGGAAATAATGTGAAGATGCTATTGTTAGCAGAGCTTTATCTGCTAGCACTTGCACAAGCTTTGTGGGGAGCAGTGGAACTGTGTGGCAGATCCCTCGGCCCGTTCATAAAGCGCTTCCCCTGCTGCTGCCACCCTATGTTCCCAGATAACAGGCACAGGCCAGAAATAGGACGGCCGTGGTGAAAGAAGTTACTTAATCCTCTTCGAGCTAAGCAAAAACGTGTCACTGAAAAGCCAATTCACAGGGCAGAGCTGAATTACATGGGAGAAAATTGTGTCTGCAAATCAAAGCAAACTCCAGCACAGTGAGAGAGCGAAGAGAAAATGGACCTGGTATGGGAGAAGGGTGAATAGCCTGGAGAAGAGCAGGGCTGAAAAGATCCAGCCTTGGAGTGGAGCAACAGGGTCAGGAGATCAAGCGGATGAGGGCTGCGAGAAACCATTGGCTTTCTGAAGCAGCAAGGAGGTGGAACAGTGGGGAGGGAAATGGGAAAGGACACAGCTTGGCGGGCACGTGTCCTGTTCTTCTTTCCCCAAAGCAGACAGCACCAGGGGCAGGAGGTAATCACCAAGCCTCCCCTAGCTCCAGTGCAGGAGAACAAATTTGTGAACAGTAGTGGCTGTCAGAAGGTGCAAGGCACTTAAAGCTGCCCAAGACCTCTGCTACCAGAGGTCTCCACCTTCTACAGCTCTCCAGGCACTGCAGGACCAGCTGCCCATGACCCTACAAGCTTCTCTGGCCTGGAGGAAGGTGACTGCATCCTCCCAGGGGTGCTGATTTGTGTCGCTTCCTTTGGAGTCTGCACTCCCTCTGCTCCCTCCCCTCCCACTTCCCAGATGCACTTGGTTTTTACATCCTTGTTCTTTTCCTCACAGGAATGAGTTTCGGTGCGTATCGGTTGCGTGAGAGCAAATTGATGGAGCCGGCTGCCGAGCGAAGCAGCTGGAATCTTTCTTAGGAGAGCCGCAGTCGTTAATTACAGGAGCCTAACTAAGCCCCATCTCGAGCAAGGAGCATTTTCTAGGTCTCCCTCCATCCTTCGGTAATTCGCTGCGTGAGTTGTCACAGCCCAGCCACGACTCTGGGAGGACTCAAAGCGACACCCACCTGTTTTATGCCACCACCTGAACAAAACCTGAGTCCTGGTGAGCAGCTCCCTCTCTGCATCCCTCACCTCCTGAGCTGGTAAATGGCACCACAGCCAGGGCTGCAGGCAGCACACGTCCATCTCGTGGGCTTCGGCACCTTCCCTGCCCCAGCTGGACAGAGCTGGTGGCTCTGGAAAGGATTTGTTCTTTATGAATTTACCCCAGAGGAAACAGAGCTGGGGAGAAGCAGGAGGAAGCACTCAGGCATCCTTAAAAGCCCAACGCTCCCTATTGTGTGCCTCTGTGATGTGTTCCTGGCTGACAACCCCAGTATTTGCCGTGCTGTTGCCCCGTTTCAGAGCGTGCCCACACAGAGAGCCTTGTTTTAATATCTCCGGCTTGCTCACAGCCTTCACTCGCGCCACTTCATGACCTGCGGTAGGGAGATAAGAGCATGTCCTGTGGCAGGAGCCTTCCTCCCTTCACAACAGAGATACTGCAAGGAGAGAGGGCTGCGGACACAGCTCGGGCAGACAAAACTGATTCGGTCTCTGCAGAAGAAAGTTGCACATGTTTTCTTCAAATGTCTGTGGAGCTGCCAGGAGGTGTGCGAGCCTAGCCAAGGGAGGCAGCAGCAGCAGCAGCTGGTGTCAGTGCCCCAGAGGGATGCTCCTGGACTTTTGCTGGGGTTGGATAGGAGGAGGAGGGAAGGGGGCACCGGGTCTCTAATTAGGGGACTTTCTCCCTCTGGCTGCCTTTCAATTTGCAGTGCTTGTGGGGGGAAAGCAGAGCCTGTGCCTGGTGAGAGCGGTTCACCTGTGCTGGGACCCCTCTCAAAAGCTGCTAAACATTAAAAAAAATATATAAATCTGTGAGCGCTTTGATAGTCCTCACAAGAAAGTGAAACAGAAGAGCCTTTGAGCTGCACGTAGGAAGAAAAAACCTCTGTGCATTGCTGGGGGAAGAAAGGCTGGAGGAGCCGAAATCTGGCAACAGTCCCCAGCTGGCGAGGGAGGTGCTTTTCTGCCTGGAGCTGAGCTCTTGTCACAGCTGATGCAGAGAGAGAGGAAAAGCACAGGACGGACGGGAGGCAGCAACCAGCACCTCCGAACCTCCCGGGATGGGGAGGGCGAGCCAGGAGCCAGCGCTCACCCTCTACCTTCACACAGCAGCTTGGTTCTGGGCTCAGCCCCACAGAGGCAGCGGGTGCCCCTTCCCCGCATCCCCCAGGTTTCCATAGCAATCGGTGTCAGCCGTGCAGGGAAGCCGATGGAGGGAAACGAGGGTTTCTCCCCATCCTGGGCTGCTGTGGGGTGGGAGAAGGGGTGGGAGGATGCTGCAGCTCAGCCTCAGCCAGGCCAGGGCACGAGGAGGGGTTTGTACCCCACGTGGAAGGTTTTGGGGCCACCCATGCGAGCTGTGCCCTGCTTGGGGCAGAGCTGGTGCCGGCCCTGATTGTCCTCTCCTGCAGCTCTTTCCCCCGCGGTCTGCTCTATTTTTCCTTCCTTGGTGCTTTTCCAACCAGTGAAGTCAGAAACTAATCTCTGCTTTTAATGGAAAACAAGGTGTGGGGGCAGGAGGAGTGCACGCAGCCTCGAAGGCAGCATTTGTATTCCCCGGGTGGCGGGCTGGGGCACCGGAGCAAGCTCGCAGGGAGGGAGAGGGCTCAGGCAATCCACAGAAACGTGGGCATCCGAGCCAGTGAGGGGGAGGTTTGGGGGGGCTCAGCACTATGGGGAGAGTGGGTTTCATCGTTTGCTCACCGTCCTTACCCCTCCACCACAGGAGGAAGGTGCAGAGCTTCTCATTCGAACCAAATGGAAAAGCGATGGAGGTTTTCATGAAATAAAGGGGTCAGTGCATACCATAAAACATTCCACATGATTTTGCAGTTAAAAAAAATAAATAAATAAACTTTAGAAACTTAAAAACCAGGTCAGCTTTGAGATGGATCTGTCGTCTTGAAACAAAGCCAGGATGGTTCATTTAGCAAATGTCTAAACAAAATGTTTTGACATTTCTCAGGGACAAATTATCCGGTACATTTTCAGACAAAACTTGTTAGCAAACGTGACTGAAAAGTTTGGAGCCCTAAAAAAACCTGCGTGCTGGGGCAGGTATGCCATTTGCCAAGCATTTCACACGCTGCTGGGCAGAAGCCAGGTGCCAGGGGCATGAAGGTGCCTGGAGAGGTGCTTGGGGGTGCCCGGGGATGTGGGCTGGGCTCCAGCCTCAGCTCTGCTGCAGGGGAGAGCTGAGCCCCTGATCATTTTCAGCGTACAATGGTGGGGAAAGGAACTATAAATAAGCCAGAGCAGCCCTTAAATAGGTTGTGAAAGAGAAACGCGGAAGTTTTTGACACGATCAAGGCCCTGAAAGGGGAGAGAGATGGGAAGGCACAGGCACGGGAAGCTGCCTCCCTGCCTGCCCTGCTGAGAGGTGGATGTGCCTCCAGCAGGGCGATGGATGGCACGGGGAATCTATCATTTCCCTGTGTAAATAGCCTAACGCTTGCCCACCTCAGTGACCTGCTCTGGCACACCTGGAGACCTCGCCACCTCTGCCCGCGCCCGCCGGAGTTCCTCGGCTCTGACCTATTTCCATGCATTCACCATCTTCCCATCTCTGCCACTTTTGCTCCCGCAGCCTGGAGGAGGGGCCTGGCAAAGGGAATGTGAGAAAAACGATGTGGCTGCGAGGTAGGGGATACCAAAGCAGGCAGCAGATGTGATCCGAACCCCCTGCAAATCCCCAGGGGTCCTACTGAGCACCCCCCAGCACCGCTTGCTGCAGGTGAGACCCCTTCTGGGCGGGACACCTCACACCAGGCAGGTACCAGGGGCATCTACACGGAGCAGTGAGAGGGAGAGAGCTTTGCCCTGGGCACAGCACTTCTCTCTGCAGCTATTGCAGCTTTAATAGAAAACAGGCAAGAAATAGAGCTCGCTGCTGAGGCCAGGGCTGGGGCACGATGCTGCTGCCGGGGCAGCCGCCTGACCCGCTGCGGGGCCGAGCAGCCGCCGGCGTGGCTTCCTGCAAAGCCTTTCAGAAGGAAATGCTGTTTGTTCTGACATTTAGAACAGATTAAAAATCGTTACAGGCTCTTCTGGAACATTTTAGAAGGTGAAGCTATTGATCTAAAAACTCAACATCACTTTTGTAGCAGAGGGGAAATCCGCCCGGCTTCACGCACAGGATGCCCGGCACCATGCCCGCTTCCATCCCCGGCTCGTCCCAGCCCCGTGCCTCCTGTGGGGCCGTGTGAGGGGACACAAAGCCCCAGGGGCTCCCAGCATATGGGGCTTCTCCTCCGTTCCATGGCTCTGCTGGTTACAGGGGCGTTTTCAGGCATGCCCTGGCTGCTGTGCAACACTTGTCAGCATGCCTCTCTTCTCCACCTCTCACCAGCCATGCTGAAGTTGGACCCACCTCATTAGCCAAATAAATACCATTTAATTAATAAGGATTGCCCGCCATGCAGATGAGCATCACCCATGAAGCAGGATGCGGCACTGCCCGTGCCCCCATCACGCACCCCAGCTCAGGCTCCTCCAGGCTGGCAGTTATTTGTTACCAACCCTTTATCTGCAGCTCACAGAGACCTGCCTGGGGACACGGGGCCCCAGGGAGGGCTGCCAAATGCCACCGGTTTAGGGACGAAGCTGTGAGGGCTGAGGACACTCCTCTGCTGCAGAAAATTAGCAGCTTCACTGGCCTCTGTGTGAGCACAGGCACCAATCCCTCCTGCCTCCCCCCCCGCCTGCTCGCCTGCCCCAGCTGTGCGTGCTGAATGGGAGCCAGCCAAGCTGCTGTTGGATTAAACAGCCCCACCGACCTTCATAACTTTGGCTCCACACCGATTTTGTGTGCTGCTCTGGGTGTTTCGCACGTGTGATGGGGGAGCAGAGGGGCAAGAGCACAGGCAGGGACCCCTGGGGCAGGAGGGGGTTATTAACACAGCAATCAGCAGCAGCAGCGCTCGGCCCCCCAAACTTCTTCCTGTGTCAGCAGAAGTGAAATGAAATTGCCTCCATGGCCAGCTCTGGAGAGAGCTCATATCTCTCGGCCCCGAATCAGGGCAGATATGAAATTTATTATCTGTGAAGTAAAAGGGTGCTGCGCTTCAAACCGTCCAATTATTTCTTGGATGAGTGTAGGTGAAGGCACTGCGAGGGGCCGGTCACAGGCACTTCACAGAGCTCAGCGGCGTGTTAGGGCACGGGCTTGGCCAAAAATATGCCAAAGCACACATGCTGCTGGCCAAAGCCACCCACAGGCTGCCAAGTGGGAAAGGGCTTAGGTGGGAACTGATGGGTTCAGGCTGCAAAGCCTGGCAGAAAGGACCTCTGCAGCCTGTGTGCACAAAGACCACGTCCAGAAGTCCCCCCACCTAGCCACAGAGCTGCCCCCACGCTCAGTTTGTGAATTTGCAAGCTTCAGCTTCACCAGGATCCCAGCACTGCGGAGCCAGCCCCCAGCACGGAGACCCCAGCTTAATGCCCATCTCCCTTGGAAAGGCAGTGTTGTTCCTGGAATGAGCACAGCTGGGCAAACGCAGACTTTTTTTTTTTTTTTTTTTCTCTGAGGTGATGTTGATCCCCACCATTTTCCAAATCATTTTCTCTGTGTAAATGTTAGATGCCTTAGCATCCTCCGGCCAAGCAGCCGGGAAATTAATACAATAAAAATGCAGCTATGTAGAGCAATTCTCCAGTGAACTCTCAGCCTTCCTCTGATGGTAGGCTTTGAGTCTGAATGGGATTAATTGGGCTTCCTTCCTCGTTAGGGAGGCAGACTTCTGCTCACCCCCAGCCCACCCACAGCAGAGCTGGGCCTGCGCCGTGCCCTGCACACCGCCACCTGGATGGGAACCACAGGCTGCCAAAAATCTGATTTTTGAGATGAGGAAGGCTCCTGAATTTCGGTGATGAAATTCCAGCCGGGGGGCTTGTTCAGAGCGAGGGTCGTCCATCATCTTTTAGTACCCGTGGGCACTGCAGTGAAGTGCCTCGTGAGGATGAAGGATCTTCTGGGAGGAGGGAGCAAGGTACTAAAAGCCACCTTTAATATCTGGCTGTGGCTATTTGTGTCACAAGATGGTCTCAGGCACTCTTTTCCTCTTTTTTCATTAGTTTGTGACACATTATTAGAGCGAAAATGCCTGTGGAGGAAATGGAGCAATAAAGCCCCCTGGAAATTTAGGAAAGGACTTGAAATGCTGAGGGATGTAATGCCCTGGGCTCAGGCTTTGTGTCCGATGGAAACCCCACAGCCGTTATCAGAAATAACCAAGCAGCTGTGACCTGGCTGGGCCTCCAGAGGACAGACACCGAGCGAGGCAGGCTGCCCACGAACCAGACCAGCCCCCAGAAAGAGATAAAACACGCCAATGTTTCCCAAACATACATTTTTGCACTCAGTGCTTCCTGGCGGAGGTGCTCCCGATGTGACATTTAAACAATCGCGTTTTAGGCAGGCTGGCTCGGGGGCACACCGTAAGGGTTGGCCTGGACTCAGCTGTGGATAATGCACCTGGGCTGCTGCTCAGCGCCGCTGCAGTGGCACCGGGGCTTCTGATGACGTGATTCTAGCAGGGACATCCTCATCCGAAGCGATTGCGGCCACCCTGCCAAGAAAAGCAGCGTGCTGAGAGTGGCGGTGTTAAATTTTAACAAGGAGGCTTGGTACAGAAGAAGAGGAAAGTGGTTAAGGAGTGGCTTGAGACATCAGGGCAAATGTTAAAATCTGTGAACATCGCATGAGGGTTTCCCATTCCCTCATCACTGGGGCTGAGCCTTTTGGAGAGGAAATGAGGCGAGCTGTGCTGGAATACTACAGAATAATAAACCAGGACCAGGTCCTGTCCTGGGCAGGGGGACCACATTTCCCCGCAGCCGCTGGAGAGCTGCTTTCCTGAGCAGGAGCTGCTCTTTCGCTGCCGTTTGCAGACAAACAGGGGTTTGGGGAAATGCTCGCCGCCAGCTCGTTGCTTTGACAGCAGTGTTTTCGTGATGGCCTGTCAACCACTGATAACGGGAATGTCCTCACGCTCAGGAGCACAAGTCCCAGCATAATAAATCCTACGCTGTTGTCTCGGGTTGAGTGGCAGAGAGAGATGAAATTGGGTCGAGGCTGTTGCAGATTTGACGGCAAAGTTGGGGAAGCGTTCAGCAGAAAACTGGTGGCTTGTGAAGCCTCTAATCCCAGTGCTTTGACGGGCCTCACAAACATATCATGGCATTGATGAGCTCTCGGGCTTGGGCAGCGAGGTGTGCAAATCTCTGATGGAAAGCAGCAAAGAGGAAACAACAAACATAAATGCCCTCTAATGGGAGCAACTGGTCAGATACATTGCCACAGCAGCAGGGGCTTCCCAAGGATTCGGAGTGATCCTGTTGGAAAGGGAATGGGTTTGAGCAGAAATGGCTTTCAGGGTATGTTGTATCCTCAGTGACGAACCCCTCTGCTTATGAAGACAGCCTCACCAGTGTACAGGGAAAGCAGAGAGTGAGCTGATACCCACGGACAGAACTAGATGGCTTCATTTTCTGCCTGGGGATCTGTTTTCAGGGCCAAGATACAATTAGTGCAGCCGTCTCTGGAGCTTCCCCACCGATCCTCCTCAAGTCACCCAGTTGCTGCTGCAGAATCCAGATCTAAAAATCTCTGTACCAGTCTGTTCCTCTTTAACCTGGCCCCAGCTTCAGACCGCTCTCTTTCTACTACACTGGTTCACAACAAACTAGCAAGGGTTAAATAAATCTGTTTCTATGACAGACAGGTCTTTTTCTACTTGCCAAGGCAAAATTCAGAAGAAATACAGTCTGTGATGGTCTATATGGACTTTGAATCTTACGGACTCTGATCTATAATAAGGGCTCTGAATCAGAGAGCTCTTCCCGCTGTGTACGTGGGCTATTTCTGCTCCTTATAATTGTCTTCTCTGCCCCATGAAGCCCATCACCGAGTTCATATCTGAATTTGTTGTGATAGTCAGAAGACAGCCAGTAATAAACACGGCATGCCAGGAGGAGAAGTGGGGCTGAATAACTGGGGCTTTGGGTGTGCCACCCTTGAAGGAGAAGGATGGATTAGGTTACAGCTTCATACAGTGAATGAACCGTACCCACTGTGCGTGCTTGTACAAATAAATAAATAAATAAATAAATGAGATGGTATCAGAGCTGTAGAGATTTTGGAGAGGCTGTAAATCCAGGGGAATAACCTCTTTCTCATACCTTGGCTCTCCCTGCTTCTCTGCAAGAGGCTGGGATTTCAGCAGCCCAGAGCAGTGGGCTGTGCTGAGCTGGCGTCACCCTTGGTGCACAGAGCTGAGAGCAAGAGGCTGGACCAGAGTAAAGTGCTAATTGACTGCTAGAGCCTGCCAGACATAAAATGAGGGTCCTGAGGGTCTGGGTGCAGCCAGGCCCCACATGAAGAGCTGTGTTTTTTGGATGCACAAGTATCAACTTATCAACATTTATAGAGTGTTTGGGCCATTATGGATGAAGCTGCCGAGTCTCCAAACTGCAGTGTCTGCTCTCGCTCCAGAAATGCAAGCCATTTCGTAATGCAGTGTTTTTACACAGGGATTCCTGCAATACAAAAAAATATATATTTTTATATATATAAATACATATATCAGGCCAAGGCTCACCAAAACTATACTGCATGGCAGAGCCAGCACCGAGCTGTCTTTATGACTTCACCATCTGGAGAGGACACCGTGGAGGTGCCCCACCACACGTATTTCACACCACATCCCTGCAGAGAGCTGCGCAGGCAGTGCTGTACGGGGTACGTATGTGAGGGGTATGCCATCCTGGCAGCCTCCTTCAGGTGGGTGAAGAAATTGCTGATACCATCGTGATGGAGGTGCTGGGCTTGGTGGGTTCGTGTCTGTGACAATGCCCGGAGAACCCAGAGCAGGATTTCTGTAGGTCCTGGATTTCTGTAGGTCCTGCTTTTCCTGTGGGAACACACACAAAGCTGTCACACACCACTCTGCTTAGAACGGCCACTCACGTGGGGATCTTTAACACTGACTTAATGCTTTATAACACTCCAGAAAATTAATCAGGGAAAGAAAACTAGGGGAACCTACGCGCTCCTCAGAGCCAACCTGACAGCAGCCATTGGTTTTAGGGCCTCGTACGTGGTGGCTGGATGCCCAGCAGTGCTGCAGGAGGAGTCATCGGGAAGCATCGAAACAAGGAGCCCCACGTTTCCTTCTCACCCCTGAGCACACTTTTGGCTCAGCTGCCACTTCTGCCAAAGCAGCCCGCCGGCAGCAGCTGACCTCAGCCCATCGTGCCCAACGTGGAGGCTTGTATGAAGACGAATAGCAGACGTCGCATCAAATCAGTGCCCTAGCAGCTAGAGGCAGCTTAGCAGAAAGATTTGTTCAAACAATGAAGCGAGCCCCGTGTTTTTCAGGAGGAAGAGCATCTGTTCACGAATGCTTGACTAATTTCTCATTATCTTACTGAAACAGCTTATGCCACTGGAAAAGCATCCCCAGCACGGCTAGTGTCAGTCAACCGCTGGCTACCTGTTCTGATTTACTGAGATCACCAGGAATGACACAAGCGATGTAGGAACAGGCATAGGTATTTCAAGAGAAGGGACAAGTAAAAGCCACTCATTTCAAGTGAGGACAAGCAGAACAAGCGGGAGCTGAGCTGGTGGCTCTGTGGATACCTGTAGCTCAGGTCAAGGTGCGATGCTGGGCTGGGTCTGCAGGGATCAACTTCCAGTCAAAGTACCTGCTCCTGCCTGTCTCCCACGGACTTGTCCATGAAATATTCGCACCCATCACCGTGCTGGTCTGCAGGTGTGTGCAGCTGCACTCAGTCAGCGGGCACACTGCAGCAGAGGTCCAGCTCTCTGCATATTGTCACTGCAAGTCTGTCCCCTGCCACCTGAAGAACAGGCTGGAGGCAGAGGAACATCGAACTTTGGTCTGAATTGTGCATTGCGGACTCCAGATTTGCAGTGGAAAGCTTTGTTACTGTTCCCACCAGGAGCTTCAATCACAAGTAATGGTTGGTCCTTGGGGCTAGTCCCCTTCGGTGATGTTTTCCTTCAAAGCATTAAGAGTGGGTACACTCTGCTTGTATCCCACTCGCTCATCAGCGCGGTGATTTGTTTCAGCTCCTCCGTCTGTGTCACGGAGATAAAGTGATTTGCCTATCGCTGCAGAGCACTCAGAGAGGGCTGGGTGAGAAGTACTCCAAGAGCCAGCCCTCACCTTGCTCCGTCTGTAACAAGATTGGTCCCCGAAGGAGATTAGCCGGGGGAGCTGGCCCTCCCTGCCATCCTTCATCACTTCTGCATCTGCTGGCACCACGCTGATGCTCCCCGGGCATGCTGGAGCTCCGGTGCTGTGGCTGCGGGAAAGCAGGAGAAATGAAATATGCCTTGTGTGTACGGGGAGGAGGGAAGGGGCAGGGAGGGAAATGATGCCTGCTATTTCCATGTCTCAGGTATTTCATCATCATTACAGTTGTAAATGACAGCATACAATTTGCTGAGAGATAGGAGTAATGAGGAGGCAGAGGGGAGAGGCTGGAAGAAGAGAGGAGAGGTAGAGAGAAAGAAGTAAGAGAAATGTGGGCACAGTTTAGGGAAATAAAACAACACAGGGAAAGGAAGAAACAGTGACGGACTTTGGGAGCAACAGAGGAAAAAGGGGAGGGATAGAGAGAAATAGGGTTTAGAGGGCAACAGGGGAGAAAAGAGAGAGGTTCTCAGGGAATTGGCTGGCAGAGGCAGGAACTGGCTGCTTCCCCTGAGTTCAGAGTACTGATGGGTTATTGATCTGGGGAACCCGGTGTATTTCATACAGCAATATTTTCTAGTTGGGGAAGGCAGCTGATGTTTGAGAGGAGAGGAAGCCAGGGCTGCTGGCAGCCTGCCTTCTGACTGTGGGCAGCAGCAACTCTCCCAGGGCAAAACCAGAGTTGCAGAATGCCAAATACACAAAATGGGGACAGGGATTTAGGGGTCACTCGACCCTGCAGGATGACTTTTGGAAATAAAAAATAAAAATAAAGAAATTAGCAGGTGCAGAGGACCACAAGGGACAGACAAAAACAATTCATCTAACACATGTGGCCGAGCAGGGCTTCTTGCAGGGGTCAAGCCACCACCTAAGGCTGCAGCCTGTGAAAAATGCACTAATACTCATTTAATGAAGAAATATTTGGGTATATTTATAAGCCTTGTGAAACTGCATATAAAATCACAGCACCTGCAAATACAGGCAGAGAAACGAACACTGAAACTAGAGCAACCTACAACACAGTCCCAAGACACCTCGACTCAAACCTGGGGGGGTCACAAAACTCTGCAGCATTCAGGCTGCAGCTCCCTGCTGGAGGTGAGTTGCTGGCATTTTGTCCAAGCGTCTCCAATCTCACCTTGGTCCCAGACTCAGCCTCTGCAGAAGCACCCAGCTCTCCGGTGTGCTCTTTTACAGGCTCCACCTGGAGATCCTTCCATTTCATTTCTCTCTCCTCCAGCCTCCGAGCCATTTTCTCTCCTCAGCAATCTGCAGCACTTTTATCCCGACTGCGAACGTCAGAGCCAGCTGGCTGCGTGCTGACAGGAGTGTCTCAAGGCAGGTACCTACAGACCTCTAGGCAACTTTTCAGGGTATTCACTCAACGGCTCGCTGAGCACGGCCTCCAGATGGATTTTGAAGCCCACAAGACCTCTGTCATACGCAGCAGTAAGTCACCAGCAGCCTACAGGGCTTTGCACAGGTGTGCAGTGAATGCAAACAGTGGTGGGGATGGAGGCTCTGGTTCAGGTGGAGCACAAGCCCAAGTTGTTTTTCTTCAGGTTTATGTGGGCACCTGGGCAGTTTGCGGCAAGATGCCACATTTGGGTGCTCTCCTGCAGCACGAGCAGAGGCCAAAGTGCCACAACAGGGAAGGAGCCACAAATATTTTCTATGCCCAGCCTCCCTTTTCCATGGGGTAAATAGAGGGGTACTAAAAACCATCCCACGCTTCATCGGCGAGCTGCAGGTGCTGCTCCTTCCCCAGGTGAAGGCATGCTCTCTCTCGCCATGCTCTGCTCCCCCCAGGAGCCACTTTTCCTGACTGTGGTCCTTTGCAGTGGCTTTTTATAAAACTCTTAATGAATTTCAGGGTTTGCCCCTTGCAGAGCCTGGATTAAACAGAATTTTAATGAATATTAAGAGTAATACCTTTAATTGAAAGATAGGCTCCATCTGAGGTGAAATCTTGGCTCCACAGGAGTCAGCAAGCAGCTTGCCAATAACTCACTTGAGCCAGGACTGTACCCATTAGTGTGAGGGCAATTTCAGGCATCTAGCTCTTTCACAGGTTTCAACAGAAAATGCCACAATTTGTTTTAATAACCCGGCTCCCTTTAATGAGCAAATTAAAAGAAGTTGGTACAGAGCAGGAGGGAAAAATGGGATGGTGAGGAGAATACTAAAAATCTGCTGTACCGGTAGGGTGACATTTTTCCGGTGATGTCCTTCTCCCCAAGAGCCAAGCTTGGTGCCAGTGTGGGCACCTTCATCCAGGCTCCATCTCTTGCCCTGCACATCGAGCCCGCGTCCAGGGCTGGCCAATCTCTTGTGCCTGCCTCCGCTGAGGTCTGGCCTTCCCCGCTGGATGAAGAGCCCTTGCTCTAACCCTGCTGCTGGTCGGATGCACGTGCAGCCAGCCCCTGCCTTGTAGACACCACCATGGTCCTTACCTCTCCATCTCCTTCAGCCCATTCATGGGATACACACCCACCTTTCCCTCTTTCATGTCCATGCAGTACCTGCTGCCAGTGTATGGCCTGTCCCTGGTGTCACCATGTGCTGGAAAACTGTATTTATGGAAGCCCACATTGCAGCCAGCAGATAGATAGACAAAAATTACACCAACTGTGCACCATCTTTATCCTTCCTTTTCAAGGAAAGGCCCAGACCTCTTACTGTTTTGTGGCACTGCTGCAGGATCAGGCTAGGCTACGGCAAGGAAAGAGATTTGTCAAGACTTGACAGGCAATTCCTGTGCATATAAAGATGGGAGAACAGGACTTTAAAGCATCCATGAAAACATTGGCAAAGGCTTTAAGGACCGGTGAGGCCAAGTTAGTCAATCCGCTGCTTTAAAGCAGCAGAAGTGACGATAATATGATCGATGCAGCTCAAGCCAGCAAGAAGCATGCTGCTGCTTTCAGAAGAACCTGCAAGGCATGGAGGAGAAGCCCTGTGGAGAGGGAATTACAATAATTGAACCAAATGGCCGTGTGGGTGTTTGCTGCTCTTGCAAGGTCATCACGGGATGCAGTCAATAAGGGTGTAAAGCCTGTACAAATTGCACAACCGGGGAAAAAGACAGGATATACATCGGTAGCCCACCCGCTTGGCCTGAAGGGCTGGCAGGACTGCTGCAGGACCCCTCGTGCCTTCAAAGCCCACCCATGGTGGGTACGGGGCCGGGGGCGATACCCAGCTGTGACAAGCCCAGCCAAGGCAATCGTGCAAAGCTGGCAAACGTGGCTGGAGGGGGAGTTGTTCTTAAAAATACAGGAGCTTTAGGCTGCTGAGAGAGGCTGTGGACGGGAAAGGATTTCTGGCCATGCAGGCCGAGGCTAGGACGTGCTGCTGTGAGGTGACCCTGAGTGGGACAGCGCAATCCAGGAGCTACACAGTCGTGGTGCTCATCAGGCCTTACCCACTCGGGCCCACAGCAGTGTTGCTGTGGTCTCCCAGGGTTGCTGACCTCATGCTTGGTGACCGTATGGCTTCAGTGGGCATAGGGCAGGCCGAGCTTCACCACCTGCACCCCAAAGGTGGTGCCCAAGCTTCACCAGCAGCCAGGCACCATGCCAGGAGGAGAAACAAGAGGCTTGCCCAGGCCCAGCACTCTCTTCTGGGAGCTGCCCCAGGCCAGGGGGTGCCAGGGGGACCTCCCCGACCCCTCTCTTAGCCCAGGCTGCAAACACCGTCTGTCTGGGGCTTGTATTTTCACCTTTTAGAAAGGTACCTGTTAGTTTGCATCTTTAAACGTCTCACATATAACAATTTCTTGAGCCAACGGATTATGGTGCGGCTGCTGCAAAGTGTTACCATTCATGCCGCAGCCCGGCTTTCTGGAAACCTGAAAAACTTCCCTCTTTATAAATGATCTCTAGTCTGAGGTTGAGCCCATTATTGCTACAGTTAAATCTATAACCCCAAGAACAGACCCAAATGAAAAACAAGCAGCTGCATGGACTTCAAGCACAGTTGGCTGCTATAGCTGAGTCTCCACAAGAAAACAAATACACTGCCTACTTCTTCTTAGATTAAACCTCCCTGCCACTGCCTGCCTGCTTCTGAGAGCACCTGGAGCTCGTCTAAGCCAGCGTGGCTCCAGAATGGCTGCAGATGCCGAGCTTGTCACAGGTCCAGCTCTGGGGGTGTCCTGGGCTTAAGGAGAGAAGACTGAACGGGCAATTAACATGACCACTGCTTCCCTCTGACCCCCACTGCTCTTGTATTTTTGTCTCTACCTCCAGGCAATATTGCTTCCCAAGGTCTGTAAAACTTTTCCTCCTGTTAACCTAGCCCCTGCGGGGTATTTCAGCATCTGATGTGAATGACTGTTGGCCTGCAATGGATTTCAGATGGTGCTTCAGTGCCCTCCGCAGTGCTTGGTCTTCAGCAGGGAGAGCACTGCGCTGGTCCTGCTGCAATGACTGGAGAGAGAGCTTCAATTATAAGCACTTATTTTTGGTAGTTCATCACTCAGTACAAATACTACCCTTTGAGATACATTTTTGCTTGCTTCTTTCAGCCCACAGGTGGCATATTTTGTAAAGTTTGACAAAAATCCGCTTGGCTGGTTTATTTTATTCAGATAGGAGGGGGGTAAAGTGATTTTAGCACCATGGGTATCTTCCAGATTTTGTTTTTTTCTCTTCCTGCAGTTTGATGCATTAACTTCAGCACATTCCTTGGCTACTCTGCTCTCACTCAGGGCCAATGCTGTCATTCTGCTGGAGGACGATTTGGTTACGAGAAGCAGATTTAACGTGATGGCATGGGCTTTAGCAGGACCCAGAGCCTGAAGGAGCCATTGCCCTCAGAACGTGAGACTCCAAGGACGCCCGAAGTGAGTTACCCTTGCCACAAGCACATTGTCTGCTGCTCCACACTGAGGGTTTCCCACCCATCCCATGGACCACGCTCTCCAGAGCCCTGTCTCAAGGCAGGTGTGAGCAGGAGGGCTGTTCTCCAGCCTTGCAGAGGTGCTTGCACAGCCCCCTGCAGCGCAGCTGGCACACATCCTGTCTCCTTCCTCAGGTCTGCAGCAAGGCAGCCCACCCACCACCCACGTTAGCATGTGCTTGTTGCCCTCCCCAGGAGAAGCTCCAGCCTCTCTGCTTGCCCTAACAATGTGTTAGGGCTACCAGCACCGAAAAAAGGCAACCACTGCCCACGAGTGATATCAAAGCCCCCAGAGCTCCCCTGGGAAGCAGTCAGGCTACCACAAAACACAGCTGTGGCATTTGAGCCTCCCCTGATGGGACACACTGCCAGCTCTCAATCTGAAACCGTGTCACCATTAGCTCAGCACATCCTTGGCTCCTACCCCAGAGCTGAGTCTCACCCGTTTTTCCCCTTGACAGGCTGTTCCTGGGGGTCTCCTCACCTTCACCTCCCGTCTCCCAGCAATTTCTCCCTGCCTCTCATCAGTTCTCTATATAATCCGAGCATTTTGTCATCGGTGCAGAGTCGAAGGTCTGTGAGCAGTGCCGTGGGCCGGCTGGCCCGCCAGCAGGCTGACAGTGACCCCAAAAACAGCCTGGCCAAGCGGGCTTGGTGGGACATGGTGCTCGGGGTGAGGTGCACCGAGGGGCTCAGGCTGTAGGAGCTGGCATCCAGGGCTTGCCAGCAGGGGGTTGCACCATCAGGAAATCTGCTGAGAGAATGCTGAGGGGGACGGGAGGTTACTGAGAAGGAATCCAAGGTCTTTCTGTGGAGAAACAAAAATGGAAATTTTGACCTTGTCTGAAGATCAGAAAAGGGCTGCAGAGCCAGGGGTTGACATTAATGAGCTGAGAGCAGAAGAAGGGCCTCTCTGGAGGTGCCTGCCCTCAATTTATCCATTTTCTCCCTATTAAAATCACACCACTCCCTGGGGAAGGCAGCTCCAAAGCCCATCTCATTTTGTCATTCGAATGAAGTGTTTGATCTGAGAATTATTATTATTTAATATCTGATGGCCGATAATGCTTCTGGCGCTGACCCAGAACATATGGAAGAGCCGGTCCCTGGCCCCAGGCTTTAGGACCGTGGTTCCAGCTCCCATTTAGTCACAGGACACCAGGATCCTGCTCTTAATGAAAAACGATGTGACGCATATGTGGTATGAGTCATTATAATGTTAACTACTGTTACTTCAAGCCCAGACATTGCCAGGATCGCTTTCCTCCCTGAAGATGATTCATGTGCCTCATGCGTGACAGTTCAGCCATTTTTTTTTTGCTTATTCAAGTGAATTTCAATATTTTTAAAGTGTTTGGGGGACAAGGCCCTTCTGTTCCTGCTTGCTGAGCTGATTTTCCCTAAAATTTCCACAGCCGGCTTCCTGGAGGCTTGACACCGGGAAGGAGACGATTCACTGCAGTGAGGAAAAAACCCCGGGAGCTGCAGGTCGGGGTGCACAGTGGGAACCTCACCCTGCAAAAGGCTCGCTCCCCACCCAGGGATGTGAGGTGGAAGAGGTCCCTGTGTGCCCAGATGTTGTATACAAGGCTCGGGGACAGGGCAGCGGGATGCTGGAGGCTCTGCAGAAGGCTCCTGGGCCGTGCAGGCAGGGGTGCGACCCCTGCCACCCCTCCTCTGTGCCGGCAAAGGAGTGAGCAGAAATGGGGAAGGCCCCCGCAGTGCTCACAGGGCTGCCACTTGATATCTTATTCCTAACCCTGCTGCCTCCCTTTCATCTCGGGCTTCGGCAGCGCTGTAAAGCTTCATTTCCAGAGACTGTGCCTCCTGCCAGTAGCTGAGCTAGGAGCTCCCCGGGGCTCCGTCTGTCAGACCGTAACGATGCTTTATTCA